AGTGAGAAGAAAGTTTTGAACTCATAATGCTTAGACAAGATATCATGTCTGCATCTTGTACTATGAAAAACTACTACAAAGACAATATGCAATGTATTAATTATTGTAACTGTCCTACTAACCTGTTTTGAAACTCTCATTGCTACTTCTTTCTCAATAAAATTATTAAAAATAATAATATACACAACACATCTTCCCCATTCCTGTACTTTTCATCCACTGTTAGGTGCTGATCTAAGTATAAGGGAGAATCTCCAGTAGTATCCTTTGGCTTTTAGAAAAAATCTCAGAAAGCCCCACCATGTCTTCCATAGCCTTGATCATGGGTCCGTGCTTCCTCTCTAGTCTCCTTTTGAGCCACTGTATGTCCCACTCAAATTCAACACACTCAGTGGTTTTTACCTGCCCTGAGCTCTGGGATCCTTCCTGCCCCAAGACTCCCAAAGGGCCACCTCCTCTCCCACCCAACATCCTCCTCAGTTGACCTCCCGCTTTCTGCTGACCTGGCATCATCTTCTTCCCCTTGTGTGTGCACATCATAATTACAATTAAATGCTTACCTGTGTGGTTAGCAGTGGGTCAGTTCCTAGGGAGAGGTATCCCATCTCCTTTGTTCATGGCAAGCCCTCTCACAGTTCTTGCACATGGTAGACACTTAAAAAACATACTTTTAATAAAAATCAATGTGTTGAATTAGTCTCTACTGCCACTCCTGTAAAATTTACTAAGGGCTCTTGTTTCTATTCACAAAGCCTTTCTCTCTAGCATATCGTAGCCTTAAGTAAACATTTGGTAACTGAATGAAGGCACAAATGGCTTGTAATAAATAGCCCTCTTAGCTTTTCACAGACTTCCCTTGACAACATCCTCTTCCTCTTCCTTCCAAAGGGGACAGAGTGCTCAGCACTCAGGTGTATCCTCTAACTCCCCCCTTAGCTGGCTCTGCCCTATGAATCCAAGAATGGTCACAAGGTTAGGACACAGGCTTCCTAATCTCCATTCAGGCAAGCATTTGTGTGAACTGTATTCTGCAGCAGTGACTCACATATGACATAAGCAACAGCAGTTTCATAGCCAGGGCCAGTAACAGAGTATTGTCCTCCAAAATTATCTGTGTCCCTTTGCATCTTCAGAAGAGGTTGATACAGTCATATAACAGAGGAATACAAAACAGGGCTGTGCTCTAATGGAGAAATGGCCAGAAAGCAACCCCATGGGGGCCCAGCACAAGCAAAGAGAGGACAAACAAAGGTCTGGCCCAAGGTGGGAGGTGAGCAGGACCTGACCAGATTGGCACAGAAGGAACCCACCCTTATCTTGTCGGCAGATTCTTCCATGAATATGTCTTCTCTTTCAAACTAGACCTAGACAGAAAGCTCTTCACAGCAATCTAACTTTTTTTTTTTGTTTCTCCTGTTTCTTTTTTTTTTATTTTGCAAAAAAAAAGAAATAATTTCATAACAAGAACAAGAAATTAACAACTGTGTATTGTCTTCAAAGTAGTTACTCAGAAAAAAGATAGATCCTTACCAAAAAAAAAAAAAAAAAAAAAAGCAGATAATAGCACAAACGATTCTTGTCAGTAACCTAAGAGAAGCTAATAGTATAAATGAAATGAACTGTCATATGTATTATAATATATATTCATACAGCAAAATAGCTAAGTTAAAGAATTTTTGAACTTCTTTCTACTTCCTATTTATCTTCCATTTTGCTCTTTGGGTGTTTGTGTACATATATATTTTTATATATTGATTTTCTCATATAAGAGAAACTGGTATTTAAGCTTGTATGTCTGACTTATTTCATTAAACATTATGTTTTCAAGTTGCATGCATTTCCCTAGGTAGGGGTACCTCAAATTTAATTTTCCATATGGCAGCATGGAACTCCATTGTGTGTAAATATTGCAATTTCCTTATTCGTTCAGCTATTAATGGACATATACCCTGTCTCCGGGATGTAGCTTTTATAAATTGTGCTGCTATAAACATATATGTATCCCTGGAAAATCATGATTTTAATTCTTTGGGGAAAGTATCTAGAAAGAAGACAGTGAGGTCAAGAAGAATTTCTATTTTTAGTTTTTTCTGATGGAAACTTAAACTCTTATGTATCATTAATAGTTCAGTCCCTAGTAGTTGAATGGTTGACTCAATTAGACCCAAGGGGTTAGGAAACATATTGAGGCAAGCGAAGCCCCTGAATTCACTACTGATGGATTTTATTGCACAAAATAATTTTTATTTCAGAAAGTTTGTTGTTTTTCTTGAGTCTCCCTGGACTTGGTTGGTCATGTCTACCATTCACTGGGTTTGAAATAACAACCTTGCCTCTCTCCCTCCTAACCCAGTGACTTTCTCTTTACAGATGAGAAGCCCTTTGCTGTGGAAGACACTTATTTACTGTGTCCAGCACCTATCTTAAAAGAAGTTGGCATGTAAGTTTTTGCAGCAACTTAACTGTTCAGTTAAGGAGGAAAGAGGAGATGGAAGGGACAATAAAATAAGAAAACATCTTTCTCCCTTAACAAAATAATCTTTTCTCTAGTTTCCCTAGGAATAATGGTGCTGGTGCTTACAGTGAGCCAGATAAGTTATTTAGAGGCACCAGATAAGTGCTGTATAGAGTGTCTCTTTTCATCTTTGCCAGTTCCCAGTGAACAGACATTCCTATTACACAGGAATGGAGACTGTGGCCAAAAGCATTGGAGTAACTTTCTCACGGTCACACAGTAGTCAGTGGGGAGAGATTGGGCTCAGTTCCAGCTCTGCCTGACTTAATCATAACTACTTTTCTAGAAAGTTCTCATATATTACCTCATCCCATCATCATTAGTGTCCCACTAGATGATTGTTACCAACTCCCTCGAGACAGGAAAACCCAGAAAGGAGGCCTGGAAAAGTGAGGTGAGGCCCCAGCCTGCTCATGACCGAGACCCTAGACTCAGATCTATAATGTTCCCCTCAGTGTTCCTCCCTAGAGCAGTGGGTGGTCAACCAAAGGTCCCTGAACTAACTTAGGACGAACAGTCAATGCTACTATAATAAATGTTCCTGAGGTATAATTGAACTAACTCAACAAAAGAGAGAGAAGTATCACCCTGAGCAAAAGAATTATGCAGGGAAAATAAAGTGGTGTTGGTGCAGAGAACTGAAAACCATGTCAGGTAACAGGCTGGAGATGGAATGGCAGCTTGAAAGGAAAGAGAGTAGAAATTGTCCATCCAGATTCTGCTTCAATGTTAGTTTCAGTTGAAAAACCCCTGCCTCTGGGTGCCTGGCATCTGCCAACAGTACCACAAATCCTGAAGACGAGCCCCGTGTCCTTGCGGCAGTGTGCAACACTGGGAGCTTGTGCTTCAGGATTCTTATACATGGGAGGAGAAGGCAAATGAGTTCATCTGCTGCTTTATCTTTTTTGAGTCTGCTGCTAGTCACAAAGCCACTGCCATCAGATTGCTGAAAGTCCAGATAATGAGGGCAGAACATGAAGCTCACCATCCACCCAGTTTGCCCCACTGACCAGGACCACTTGCTCAGAGTACTTTGTCCCACTGCTACATGACAAGTCAGTTAAATACAAGCGGGCTTCACCCATTCGGTGCAGTGTGTTGCAATGCAAGGAGGTCTGAATGCCTTACCTTGACATGCCAGCCTGCCAGGTCCTGTCATCTCGAGGTGTGAGAGGTGAGCAGTCGAAGAGGCCATCTGCCACAGTTTCCGAAGGGGAAGCTGAGGCCTCACAGGGAAGAATCTGCAGTCTCAGCGATAGCTAGGAGCAGACCTCAAAGGGGACCTACGTGTCTGGCTGTGGGCCTGTTACTCATCACACAGCATGCTGAGTGTCACTGGTTCTCTCGTTGTCATTGCAGGAAGGCAGCACTCCAGGTCAGCATGAATGATGGGCTCTCATTCATCTCCAGCTCTGTCATCATCACCACCACACACTGCGTAAGTCAGAGCCTCTCCCTGAACTGAAGGCCTCTTTATCAGCATTGTCAGTCACTTTTCTTAAACATCAATCTTCTCCAAACACCAATCCCTGTCAAGTTCTCTGGTTCTTTGCTCTGGTCACTGACTTGGATCCCCAGCCCTGCTGGGCCAGGAGTGTATCAGAAACCCCTGCATCAGCTCCTCTGGGCCCCCATTTCTGATGTTGAGGGGAACTTTGAGTGCACTGTTCTGCGGATAGTACGATGGGCTATGTCTGTGCAGTGGTGAGGGAGGAGCCTGGACAGAGTAGACTTAAGAGCAAATGGGCAGAGAGGAGCTGAACAATGTATGCAGAAAATTTATCGTAGAGGTTTTTTCCCCTAAAAGTAAGCAGGAAAATGGACAATGACTGGAAGCATTTATTTGTGCTTTGGGGAATAATCCAGGGGGAATGGAAAGTTGGTGGAGAGGGATGCTTTGTGTTAGGGATGGGGAAGGAAGAGTGTTGACCACTTCCTCCCTGCCACCTCAGATACCCTTCCCTGGATCCCTCCTGTGAGGTTGCTGTTACTTCTGGCTACCTACGAGATCTCCTGGGGAGCTTCTGAAAGACACTGGAGCTAGGATCACTGGCACGAGCCCTGGTCTTAGGGGCTCCGAGGCCGCTCTGGGGGCTTGTGTGGGCAGCCTCGGTAGTTGCCATTGCTCATGGCCAGTGACTCAGAGCTCAGCTTGTCAGGTGCAGTCAGGGCTTGGTTCATGGAAGTACTCAACTCTCACATGAGCATTTACATGCAGCCATTGTCAGGATATGCAGTTTCTGTAACCACTTGTATTTTATCCCATGGATCGTCCTAGCAACTAAGGTACTTGGCCGATGGTCAGCTTGGGTAGTTGCAATGGTAACTTCCTGAGTGGCTTCTGGAAGATCCCTCCACAACTGGAATTGCGTACTTAATACCATTACAAGTGAACAAGTGATAATAGCGTGCCCTGCTACAAGAGAAAATGAAAGTATGTTATCTTGTAAGCGAACAGGCAAACCAATTTTCTTGAAAGCTGGGTAAGCCTGTATTATGGAGAAGGGGCCAAAGTTGTTGCAGATAAGTGTCAGCACTGAAAAATGCCCATGTCTCCAATATCTGTCAACCTTTAAATTTGGATACCTGAGCAGGACACCATCAAAAACTTTTTTTAGCTTCTGGCCTTGCTGTTTCCAACATTCTGGTGCGTGTTGGGTTCTCAGAAATTCACCTGCCTTTCATGTGCTTCCTGACAGAGGGCGATGGAATAAATGAATTTAAACAATGGAAACAAAATCAACATAAAAAAACTTTTTTAGCCAAACATGGTGGTACCAGCCTATAGTCCTAGCACTTGCAAGGCTGAGGCAGCAGGATCCGCTGCCTGAACTGCAGTGTGATACACTGTCTAAAAAAAAAAAATTAAATGTATATAAAAGCATTGAAATTTCTGTTTGTTTGTTTGTTTGTTTACTTACCTGCCTGCTTTAGACAGGGTCTCTTTATGTAGCTCAGGATGACCTTGAACTTTCAACAATTCTCCTGCCTCAATCTCCCTAGTGCTGGGGATATAGGCATGTGCCACCTTGCTCAGGAAAGCAATGAAATTTCTTCAAGTTTGCCTGCCTCATTCTTTTGGAAATTGACTTTTGGAATCTTCCAAACTGCAGGAAATTGTTAAAATATTCCAAATCTAATAGCTCCATTCCAGATTCCTCCCAGCTTTTGGGTGAACCAACAGTGTGGACCTGCATTTCTCATTATGTCTGACTGTACCACAGAGAAATAGTCACTGCCCTTGAACCACAAGTGGGAAGTGGGAAGTGGGAGAGGGGAATGTCTTGGGACTAACCTCGTGGTATGGCAAATGCAGGACTACAAATTTAAATCTGGGCCTCTAAGTAAAGAAAGAAAGGGCTCCCCTACCAATGCATTGTAAAATTTAAGAATTCCCAGTAAAATCCATTGCTTCTTCCCAACTCACTCCAGCCCCCACTTACATCTTGTATTGCCAACATCCAGTTGCATGTTACAGGTTTTTTGGTCCGTTGCCCCTTGATTAAGGCTGCATTTTCTACATTCTTCACTATTCCCTTTTCATTTGAGAATACTGCATTAGTTTACAAGAAAAAATAGTAACTACACTAAAATTTAAGCTCTAAATCCATTCATTCAACAAATACCCATTGATTACAATGTCCTAGGCACTGTCGTGGGATACATCAGAGAACACAGCAGTGAGCAATCTGGAAGAGCAGGAAGAGGCAGACAGTGAACAGCAAACATAGCAAAAGATAACTTACGTGGCCAGAAAGATAGAGCAGAGTACGGGATTGGTGCGACTTGAGTAGGTGGGTTCCAAAGTGAATAGGGTAATGAGTACACTGACCACATGGCATTTGAGCCGAAAGAAAATTAATCATAAGGCTACAGGAGGATAGAAGAGGGTGGAATGTTCCAGACTGAGAGTCCCATTGCTGAGACCCTAAAGACCCTGGTGCTCAAGGAAGGGCAAGAAGTCCAACAGTCCCTGGATCAAAGTACATGGAGGCAACAGCAGAAAGGAAGGTAACTAGAGAACGCATTGAAAGATGGGTTTTTGAGCAGAGGAGCCACCTGGTCTGACTTAGATTTCAGCACTCCTACTGCTGAAAAGGCCTAAAGGTAGACAGGAATGAAAGCAGTGTGACCAATTAGGATGTTTCAAGCAAAAGGTGGTGGTGGCTTGAATGAGGAGAAGGCAATGGAGCTGGAGAGAAGTAGCCAGAGTCAGTTGGATTTTTAAAGTAGAACTAAGAGATTTCTGGCAGCCTTGGCCATGGCTTGAGAGCAGGAGACAGGTCAAGGGCCTGAGAGTTGGGCCTCCAGCTTGTGAATGGACTTGTGTCAGCTGATAGGCAAGAGGAAGACTGAAGGAAGAGATCTGGGGCTGAGAGGGAACATCAGAGGACCCTTTTCCCTGCTTCCTATTTATATGACCTTGGCCAGTGATTTAGTCCTTTTGTGTTTCTGTCTCCTAACTGATAAAACTAAGATGTTAATGGTTTAAGTCTCCTGCAGACCTGTGAACACTAAATGACAAGTTCTTGTAAAGTACACAGCCTAAGTCCTGGAGGAAAATGAGTATTTAATGCATGTTAGCTTTTTTTATACTGAAAGCTTAATCAAATTTTTTGAACTGACTGGAGATTCTTACTCGAGCTTGGGCTCCTCCATTCAGAGCTGCATTATAACAAAGAAGATAATAAAGGAGCTCCTCTGAGACAATTTGAATCTTTTGGGGTTCACATCTGTCACTTAGCCAACCTCAAATAACTAGAAGGATCCAGAAAAGACCAGACTCTCCCAGGGAAAGAAACTTGTTTCCAAACTCCAATCCAAAAACCAGGCCCTAAACAGTCAAATTAAAGACTGAACCTGTCCCTGGGCAAAATAGGCATGGAGACAGAAGGCATGGTCATGCAGAAAATGAAGTAAGGTCTTGGACTTGCGCTTGTTTGGAAGACAAGGTTTTTAGATCAAAAATGATCTCCTGGCCCTGAATAAAGGCTTAGTCTTGTCAGTACCAGTCACAGCCTGCCCGGTCCATCACCTGGAACCAAAATTCACTTTAAAATATGCAGCTGAGACTTTTCTCACTTTATTTGGTGCCCATTTGGACCACTGTGTCACAAGCTTTCGAGATCCATGGTGAATACTTTAGTCCCTGCCAGAAGCAGAATTCCATGAAGTTTTACAGGAAAGAGCTTTCTCCAGCCAAGAGCTAGAAGATTTCCTATACAAATGGTAAACTGGGTTGAGCTCCATGACTATAGAAAATGGTCAGCCATCCAGAGTCCACGCCCGCCAGTGCATTCAGTAGACTTCTTCTCTGTAGTCTTAACTGCTCCCCTCTGTTTTTCTGGCTTTACCTATATGTTGAGATGAACACTGATGGAAAGAACATATCAGAAAATCTATACTCATAATAGCAAAGCAAGCAAAGGTTAGTACTTTAAAGAACTACTCTGAATATTGCCTTCTTTTTAAGTAAATAATTTACTTTTCCATAATTTCCCAGCCTAGAAGAGCACAAAATTTGAGGAATCTTTCCACAAGTATTTCTTGCACTCCTACTGTGGCTCCTACAATGTTGCTGTTAGACAGATGAATCCAAGGAGCTTACAAAAAAGTGTGTAATAAAGAACAAGATCATATGTGTCAGGTACAAATGCTATAGGATTTCAAAGAAGTGAGAGAGGAGTGGAGCCAGGAAGAGTCATGAGATCTCCATGGATAAGCTACTCGCTGAGTGAGGATTTAGGGGATGGTAATTATAGCTGAAGAAGTGGAAAGAGGCAGTATCCTAAAGAAAACCAACAAGGGCTAGTGAAGACGAGACATGCCTCTGGTGTAGTTGGTCCACGCTCTCCCTAGAACTGTGACTCTGTTACTTCTTTTCCTTTCATTTTATATCAATTTCTCGTTCCTTATGAGTGAGAGCCATGTCTCAGGTTGGCCACTTTTCCCTTTTTAGCAGGTACATCCCACCTGTTCGGCCTTGGTCACCCCGTACGTGACAGTGAGGCACAGTTGGTGCTGATTGCCCTTACCTGTGGTCAGGACTTGATTTATCTTAGTTGCTGGGTTAGAAAAATCACAATCTTCCAAAGGAAAAACAGGGGATCTAAAGTTAGACACAAGGTTCTATTTTTATTTTTGTTTTTTTAAGATTTAAAATTTTTGAATTGAGTTTAACTTATAATACCGCAATTCCAAGAAAAATGAACCTTTTGCACAAGAAATTTAAATAAAATCATACCAAGATACACAAAAATGAAATTGTCCAAAATTTATGGTAAAGAAAAAAATGATTAAAATATATACATAAAAAATATTAGCTATGGAAGAACATAATTAAACAGCATCTTATTGCACATTGGAAAGAAAAAAAAGGACCAAGTGTGTAAGAAACTAGACTAATTACAGGACTGAAAGAAAAGATCTGACCTCTTT